CACAGGCAACACCAAACGGCGAGCTTTTGCCAGTAGAAGGATTAGCTGCATCTTTACATGCTCGTATTTTAAATAATCACAACACAAAAACCGAGTCAATACTGACTACAAATAGAAGGTATTAGAATTTTATTTAGTTTTCCTTTTCCTTTCTTTTGTGTTAGGAAAAGTGATTTGACCCATATAGTTCTATCGTAATAGATTTCAACCATATCCTCGATATGCAACCAGTAGCAACAATAATGGCAGTACAACAACAAATGGTATGGTGACAGCCATTTGTCAATCACAACCTTCGATGTCACTAAAAACAGAGGCAGTGGTATCATCAGTAAGCACAAGCGGAGCGCCATTGAGTCCTCTTGTGGAACCACATTCTAATACGTCCACGCCGCTAGTTGATGAGCCCCAAATGACAACGCAGAGACAACGAAATGGTATTGGCGATGACGGTGAGCAGAACGTTCTATATTTCAATTTTACTCCTTCTATTATGCATTCTGTCAAAGTATTAGAGTAGGAAATGCTTTGGAATGTATATATCTAAGTTTTAAAATATGCTTTTCACACTGGCTGTAGGAAAAAATATGAGTATATTTGAAATTTTGAAATATTTCTAAATACTAAAGACTAATTTTTACAATGTGATCACAGCAATATAAAATAGCAATACAAGTTATCAATCCAGCAACAAAATGGAAAAAAATATCTTGAAATTAATGCAAATATTTCCCTTTTACATTCCACAATTAGCATTTTGACTTTACTGTACACAAAGTGTATTTGCTCTACTCATCAATACTCTAAATCTTTACTATACAGAACCTATACTCTAAACACCTTGCTTTATCTTTCTTAAGATACTATCGTATTAATTTCTGCTACGCACCTTTTATTAGTTTTTTTATGCACTAATGGTTTACAATCATTGTCTATGGTTTCCCTTATCTTATGGAGCTGGTACTTGATCTTTATTTATATTTATTTTTGTTGTTGTTTGCTGTATTTGTTAGATGCACTGTAGCTGTTTGTTGGTTAGATCTGTCTGTCACATACTCAATCTCACTCACAACCCTTGAAGCTTGTTTTATTAGAGATTGAGACACATTCAGAGGGAGAAATCAAAAAGTACGGCTGCCTGTGGGTTGGTTCGTGGTTGCTGGTGAGTTATCCCACAGGAGTTGTCCAAAATTCCTTTTTTATATTAGTGTTATTACAGCCATTCGATAAAATGCAGATTTAGATTTTTAGCTTTCTTATATATTTTTTATATTATATAAATATTAGACATATTATCTATATAATATAATAAATTTTCCATGAAAATAAGCCAGACTCAAGAAATTTTTTTGGTAAAAACAATAATAAAGGTTATTTCACAATTTACAGCCTACTTATGCATAACAAGGAACTTAAGAACAGATGGAGCATGTTAAATTTATATAAAAATACTGTATCTTTACTTGATGGGTTTTTGTAATTTTTGGTGCATGCTTTTCTGCATGATAGCATAATATATAAAATGCGATTAATGTAGTGTTTCTTTCATTGAGTAGTTATATGCGTTGTACAAGAAAAGATGAAGTGGATTTTACAAGGTACTGTACATGATAAATATCGCACATATTTTTTATTTGCATAACAAAAATAAAACAAATGACACTTACTAATTACATGATGAACATTTACATTGTAGCATTTATCTTTAATGACAACTATATTTCAAGCAGTACTGCTTCTTATACACTATCTTTAAAATAATATTTACTATCTCCATACACAATACAGATAATATACTATTTTACCAATAGAATCGTTTTATTACACAATAACTATGATTTAACACGTATGTGCATAGTGCATATAAGTAATGACAAAGTAACAATTACAATTATACAAATATACTTTACTGTACGATTATTGAAAAGGGTTATTGGCTTATTTTTATGAAAATACGTTGTACCGTCTTAGAGCGTGTAAGCAGTGTATCTAAGTGGAATTCATTTTGCAGACGGAGAAGCGGATTGGCAAGATCGTATCAGTTCTGGATTTGATAGATTGGTTGCATTCGCGTCGACGGAGTTGGACAAGCGAAGAAGATCTACAGAGGGAGTAAATACAAGTCCTGACAGCGGTTTAGGATCGGACAGCACGGTGACGGGACCTCCACCGGTGATTCCCTCGCCAGATGAAGCACTGGGACCTCCACGTACACCTTCACCGACCAGTCCTCGCCCACCGAATCCCTCCAACAGTAGTAGTACGAGCAGTAACAGCAGTAGTAGCAGTAGCACATCTTCGGTGCCTCTAAAATATCAACGTCATCCAGATCCGGAACGACATCATTTTAAGAAAAAGTTTTTTCATAGAGATTGGAACAACTCTGGGAGTACCAGTAAGTTTCGTCCTAAAGGCAAGGATTGGGATTGGAATCATTCAGGACAATGGCCTTCGAATGACGAACAATCTTAATCAATTTTTTATACAGCGTGTCTTCATAAGCTAGTATGTTAAGCTTTTTAACGGGTTGTACCTTATGGTTTGATTGACAGAAATAAGTTGAATGCAAGTCTATATTTCTTTATTTACAGATGCAATAAAACTCCATTTATCGAACACCATCTTTGCGACGAAGCTTTATTTAGCGATTCTATGTATCCGAGTTTTATTTACGTTCTATTTATCCATGAGTATGAAATCATATTATTTGAATGAAATCGTAGGTAGTAGGAAGAGTCAGTGAACTGCATAACTGCAGTTGAACTGAACTGTTTGTTTCTACGTGGATTCAGATAAATAGAGTTTTATTCGTGTATTATTTCATTTCATAGTAGAAATATTATTTTCTGCTTTCCTTTTTGCTCTTCGTAATGTAGCGTTTAAGACAATTCTAAATTATTTTGGAACATACATGTATATTGTTGCAGTATAAGACACTTTTTGTGATTCAGCTCGAAGTGGTACTTGTATTCGACTTAAAAATTTTTCTTCTTTAATTATTTTTTTCCTTTGGACTAAAGAATAAGAAATGACTCAGTGAAGTGAGATGTTCTATAATTTGCCATTTATATGTTTCATCCAAATATTTATTTATTTAACGGGGGCCTTGATCACAAGGCTAAAAGTATTATGAAATTTTTTCGGAATGCTACATTTCGATAGTAAAATCTATTTAATATTTAACTGTATACTCACGCGTATATTAAAACGTGAAGTATCGAAGAACGTCAAAGACGCTGTTATACATTACTCACTGATAAGCATTTGAAGTTAATATTAACTACTACATTTTTTGATGAAAGAAAAAAAACAATTTAGAAGATAATCATTGTCGATTTGATATATGGACATACGGTGAGAATGTGTTTGCCTTCATAAAATATATGCTAATACCATAGAGATTATATTCCGCAAAAAAAAAAGAAAAGGAAAAGTTAAACAATTTGTAAATGGATTCGTCTATAATTATGGTATGTGACTATCACATATAAAATGTAGTAAGTTAAAGAAAAGTGCTGTGTAAAAAATCTAACATATATTATGGGCGTCGTAGCTAACGTAACTAGCTCACAAAAAGGGAAGAAAAGAAGCTACCAAAACCTATGTGTGTTCGTAGCAAATATTCGCTGCATATTTTATACGCAGCTCTGTATCCCCCAATTGTTTCCGGAGGATGCAGTTATCGAAGTGTTCACTGTTGCTCATAAACGAATATGACGACAGACAGCGAAGAATAGTCATTTCACTAACCGCAAGTTAAATCTAACTCATCTTTCTTTTTTGTTTTTGTTTCTTTTTTTGGCACAAATTTAGCCACTGATTTTTAAGATTGTGCAAAATAATCCAAAGAACGACCTCTCCACGAGAGTTTAAATAAAGAAATTTTCCCAGCAGAGTTTGATCAGACTTGAAATAATCTCGCTGGTGAATACGAGATTCGACGTGTAAATAAAATGCGACGTACCTTTTAAAAAATACGCGCATCTACATTGTATAAAAGATTTTTTAGTCATTGTGTCGTAAATATAGCAGAAAGTTTGTAAAAATGAGAGAAAGGAACAACCGATTAACTGTCAACAATTGAAATGTAAGAAAAAAGAAAACAAAAGGGAGTTTAGAAGAAAATCGACCACTCCTCGTACATGATTGTAATTAGTTATCAAATTATTTAATAATCCTCTTATACATTAGTACGATATAATTAAATAACGATGTAGGCACCTGCCAAGTTTAGCATGTTATATACACTGCCGAAAAACTTCTTTAATTTTATTATTGATCATTATTATTATTTATTGTTTCTATTGAAATATTTTAATACTAAGGTTTTTGTAACAAGCATATTTTCTCTTTCATTCCTACCTTCCATTTGCGTGATTTATCACTGCAGTAATAAAAGAAGAAGAACAAAACGAAACTTAAGGAATGGTGATAAAATGAAAATAATACCGATGTTGTATTGTTACCATTTTGTTGAGGTAATAAGAGAGAAAAACAGTATAGAATGATAAATGCATTTTTAAGCGTATATCAATGGGGGTAAAAGAAATTTATTACGATGTTGCCTGATTATGTTAATTGTTATCTATGCAATAATACACACTTTTGTTGTAAACGAAAGGACACGTTAGTAGGTTTGTTAGGGTAATTCGTTGATTTGCTGCGTGAGCGAACAATGGTTGAAATATACATATATACACAAGAAATGATCATAACACGATTTTATAGAACCGAGAAACAGATGTAAACAGTATCTGTAGATATAATGCAACAAAGTACAAAGTTCTACCTGAACAGATTATATTTCATACAGTATCTGTTTTGTACATCGAGTAACCAATGCATTGAAATATACCACATTTTTATCTTAATTTATTAAATCTTTAATCGTTCCATTGACAATGCTATTATCACGTTCATTAAAAAAAAAAAAAAAGAAGCTGTATATTCTGTACTATCATTTAATGTATACATGTAAGTTATATAGAAAACGGTATTTACGATAAAAAAAAGTTATCAACTTCCTATGAATTCCGTTTCCTATGCACCTCGATGAACATTCACGTAGAACTCCTACATTATTATTACATAATTCATTCAAATCTCAGTGTCAATGACATTGGCAATACAGGTGCCAGCATGCATCTCGTATTGTATATATATTATGCTTTTGCAAAAGATAAATGATATACGGGTTTCGCAACCCATGCATTCACACGCGTATATAAGAACAAGTTTGTCGCTCTTCTGTGTACTTGAACTTGAATTTTATAACGTGCACCATGGCCTTCGTATTAGAAACTGTTCTACTGCTTTTATTCCGATTAGCTTACGCTCGAAACATGCAGGACATTGAAATTGTTTTATTACCATTATGGAATGCGGAAGATAGCGCAGAGGTAGTTATCTATTGCAACATCTTTATTTTTATATACGTATATAATTTACAAAATTTGCACGTTCACTGTATGCGCATTGGATTAAAGTCAACACTAGCCTTTTTGTAATTTGCATGCGATACGCAAATTAAAAAACGCGACATTTTCAAAATAAGTTTTATAGTAAAATAATTTTATTAATATAGTTTATTAAATTAATAATATTCCTTCTATAAAGCTAACATCATTGTACGTTATAAGTTACTTCATCGGTAAATTACAGATGCCTCTAAGCTTCAAAGCGTTCGACCAATCGGTTGAACTAATGTTACACAGAAACGATAAAATCACAGCACCTCAATTTAAAATTTGGAAGCACAGCGATACAGATATCATGGAAGAGTTAGAGCTTAGTAAACCAATCTCGTGTCATTACCTTCATCGAGATGATCTTAGTTCCGCTGCTGTGAGTCTTTGCGGAGAGCATGGTGTGGTCAGTATTGAAATTCCGAAACGTTAGAAAGAAAGACATTTCGTAAAACAAGCGCTTTTTTATCACAGCATGGTCTCATTTTTCTAAATAACACCACATTAGAGATTACACCGCTTCAGAGTCAGGATATCTCATTTTTCCATGATCATTTTTACATACGACGACGTTCAGAAATGTTGGGAGAGCCTCATATCGTCAGAAGAACTTACAGTTCTTTAACGTTTTTCGAAGATGATTCAGATTATTCTACTCAACTTTATAATTATTTAACAGATGGAAATGAGATCAGAGAACCACTTGAAAATGTCAACAGAAATAACATAAACGATGCTTTGACATTAGAATTGGCATTGTTCTTTGACGAGACTGGCTACAATATCTTTTCACCATTTTTTGATAAGAACGACGAGAAGATCATCGACATGCTATTAGCTTACATAAACGGTGTACAGGCAATTTATCATCATCCCAGTTTAGGAATTGCAATCGATATTTCCCTCGTTAGATTGGAGATTATGCAAAAACAGCCACGTGTTCTACCGCATCACGATGGCGAACGGGGAAAATTATTGGATTCTTTTTGCAATTACGCGATGAAGGAGAATCCGGAGGATGAATTTCATCCTGATCATTGGGACATGGGTTTGTACGTATCTGGTTTGGATTTCTATGTTGTGGAGGCTGGGCAAAAAAATAGTGCCACTATGGGTCTGGCAGTAGTAGGTGGATTGTGCATCAAACAATATTCTTGCGTTATTGCTGAGTTAGGCGTGACGAATCAATTTGGAAAACCATTTCCATCGGCAGGGTTCACGTCTGTTTATATAGCAGCTCACGAAATCGGACATAAGTAAGTTCATTCGTTCTCTTAGTCTAGTTCTCTTCTCTAATTTTTGAAATCTCTCAACACGAACGAACTTAAACGACATTTTCCTACAAAAATGTTAAGAAGAAATATCTGGATAACATTGATTAATGATTCTCTCCTAAAAAGTTTAGGGATGCATCACGATTCGGTTGGAAACACGTGTCCAAGGGATGGCTACATAATGTCTCCTAGTAGAGGTATCAATGGCGAGACCGCTTGGTCAGAATGCAGTCGCGATGTGGCTCAAAATCTTCCATATACGAAACCCTGTCTGAAAGACAGGCCAACTTCACCTATAAGCAGTCGATTGGATCACAGCAAGTTTTTCAATCTACCAGGCAGAGAATGGACCGCTAAAAGACAATGTGAAGTGCTACTCCGCGATAAAGACGCTACTGTAGCCACGTTGTATAAAGTCTGCGAGTCGCTACAGTGTAAGACTCCGCATAGAAACGGATACTATTTCGCTGGACCTGCTCTAGATGGAACTTACTGTGCACCAGGCAAAGAGTGCCGCGGTGGTGAATGTAAAAACGCCCTACAAATGTACCCCGATTTTATTCAACAGGGAGGATGGAGTGAATGGAAAACAGGGTCCTGTAAAAGTGGATGCTTGATGAAATCGACCGGTGCTCAAACTAGACGACGATACTGCGACAGGCCAATGCCAAAGAACACAGAAACCGGTTGCCAAGGATTGCACTATGACGTAGTTCTTTGCAAAGACGATAATCTATGCAAGAAGAAGCGCAAGAGCATGAGCGAGTTCGCGGCACTGAGGTGCGGAGAGTTCAGCGAAAGATTGCCAGAATTGGATGCGAAGGGTGGCGGGCTACAAGCGCCGCACGAACGCGAAAGGCCATGGATGGCCTGCGCTATATTCTGTCGGCGAAAAGACATAGCATCTTATTACACGCCGCGCGTGGAATTAAACGACCTTGGCCTTGACCCATACTTTCCAGATGGGACATGGTGTCATGTCGAGGAGGGACAAAATTATTTTTGTCGCCAGCACCACTGTCTACCAGAGAGTATTCGTTCCGATAAAACGCTGCAAAATGATCGGCAGAGGAACGACGACATTGAGTTCGGCCCTCAAAATGCACACGCCGGAAGGCTTCGTCTTGACAATCAGGTGATTAAGTATTTGAGCCTGGGCCCCGACGGGTTGCCCCTCTTGACTTCCTTGTCGTACGGTATTGGGTTTCCGCCAGACGAGGATGAGTGGATCGATAAAGATTACGTAGAACTGATGAAACCAACGGAGGAAACTTCCTTTGAGTCATCGTATCGGATAAGAGAATAATTTTTTTTCATTTTGTCTAACTCTTTTATTTATTTTTGTTAAGTATTTTTTATTGATTTCAGTACCTTCATCTAATTTTGATAAATTATAGTTATTGAAGTATTTCTTTATCGTGTCAATCTTTAACATAGGTGATTGATAAGATAACGATATCAAGTCTAATTACTGATTAATGTAAAAAAGATCGATAAAAAAGAAAGAAAAAGAAAAGTTTCTAAGAGAATTCGAATTATTAATATTAAAAGCAAAGTGTTCAAGTGTTCTCCTCATTATTATTCAATCGTATTCCCTACTTTATATAATGCAGTATAAATATAAATATACCAATAAATTATACACCAATATACATATGTATGTAGGTATGAGAAACACACGTAGAAAAATGAAGGGTGTAACGTGAATATATATGTATATGCATATTTACACAGAAATTCTACTGTTTCACTACGCAATTGTATGTGAAAGTATCTCAGGCCTCGGGAGATAGGACGATGACGTCATCTACTTCGCTGTCTATTTTAGGAGTGTCCCGATGTTATATCCAGCGTAGGAGCGATCATGAGACAAAAGGATTGAATAAAAATACAAAATCGTGTCACTTAATTGTATCGATATTATTTTAGCGTACAAATAATTAACCAACCATTAAAATTAAGAAAACGCGTTACATAAGAAAACAATCAGCTCGATATTACAAATAGTTGTTTATACATACATGTGCTTTCATATGACAAAAACCTCCATCCAGTCACCGTGAAATTGAAGGAAATTAATGAGCAAGGTACAATTTGTTGTTTGAATATACAAATTTAATTTGTTCTACTATATACTTACGTATCTATGTACGTACTTGTAATTCATTGAAAATGGGAAAGAACCAAATTACAATATATATATGAATGATGGAATAAGAGAACAAAAGGCAAAATAAGATGATTGGAACACAATGATGGTGGCAATTTGTCATACTTCCGCAAATTTACCGTTCACACAAACCAGACGCGCTAGACGCATTTACATTAAAGAATACTTACAGACCATATACGCATACGCAAACGCATTCATTCACCATAATTGTATACATAATACATACTCTGAATGTACAGAATAAACAAAATTAAGCAAGTCACATTCATACAGAGTTGCATTCTAACGGACTCGCACTGTTAAATCATATAACTTAACGTAAATATATTCGGTCTTATTCAATATTTTAGGATCTTTCTTCCCGCATGTAAAGGCAAAATACGTTTCACTGCACTACGAAAGCAATGGTCATTTGTTTTACTCTTTCGAATTATAACAAACATAAATTTGCCTAAACCCAAATCAAAAACCTGATTTACATTTGACTAATCGAAAACCACATTTTCCTAGCTAAAAGATAAAATTATTATTTGCATCGTCTCAACAAATATTTGTTCACAGCTCTCTAACCACGCATTTATGTACTAGAACGTACACGAGTGTTTATTCTCGTCAATTGGGACGATTAGAGGACTGTCGTTGTGATGACAATTATCCATGCTTTTTTTCGTTCTCAATTCTGTGTTCAATTCGGTAGAGTATCGTACAATATGTCCCTCGCACTTTGCGTTAATGTGTCAGGAAATTTGATGTCGAATGAGACCAGGAGATCACCTTTCCTTGATGGTTCCTTTGGGAATGGTAGGCCATGACCCTGAATCCTCCTAACCATATTGGGTTTTACAATTTCTCTTGTCAAATTTAAGTTGATTTTTTCGCCAGTAAGCGTAGGAACTTCAATGATAGTACCGCATAAAGCTTGTTTCAGACTTAGTTTGCAAGTGTATCGTATATCACTTCCTTCCCTTCTAAAAAGAGGATGTGGTTTATCTCTGATGATGAAAACAATATCTGCTGGAACCTTTCCACGGCCTTGGTCACCTTCTTTTTGGAACGTTATCTTAGTACCAGCTTTCCATCCAGGTTTTACATTAATTGTGAGAACCTTGTCTTCTTTTTTGGTGGAACCATCTGGCTGAACAACTCGTTTGGAGATTTTCATTTTCTTTGTACAACCACGTAGAATCTCTTCTAAGCTGATATACAGATCATGTTCGATAGCAGGGTCTTGAGCGCGGTCTTTATTGCCTCCTCTGCCAGAATTAGACCCCACAAAGTTGAAAGAATGTGACCTAAAAGCTCCACCTTGACCTTGACGTTGTGGTCCAACTCCCAATCCAAGTGGATCGTCTATGTCCATATCATCATCGTGGAAAGTGAAAACCCGGTTTCCTATAGGGCCTCCAAATTCAAAAAATGTTTGGAAAGGACTAGCAGAACCAAAGAATTGAGCAAACGTTGCTTTTGGATCTCCATGGAAAGTATATGTCGTGCCACCGCCACCTCCTCCTGCTGTTCCAGCTCCTCCCTTTAATCCTTCCTCTCCAAACTTATCATATACTTCCCTCTTTTTAGCATCAGAAAGTACTTCATAAGCTTCAGCTATTTCCTTGAACTTCTCCTCTGCCCCAGCACTCCTGTTTTTATCAGGATGATACTTTAAAGCTAACTTTCTGTAGGCTTTTTTGATCTCATCGTCACTGGCAATTTTGCTTATGCCTAATATTTTATAGTAATCTTTCCCCATTGGTTACAGATCTGGAACAATTTAAATAAAAGGAAGATTGATATATTGTTTGTGTAAAAATGAAAAATACAAATTTGTTGAAACAAAGAATCAATTTATTGTCTTTTATTTACAATTATCAAATTACATTTCATTGATCCCTTTTTATGGTATTTTCCTAAATCATTATATCATCTAATTATAAGAAATTACTTCAATTTACTTAAATTGTTTTCTATTAAACTATAAGTAGATTTATGACGTATATGAAGCATTTTGTAAGTTATTTTTTTATGGAAAGTACATCATACATATTACATTCTATTCAAAATTATACTGTTGCACATATCGCGAACATTACATACATAACAATGTGTGATCCAAGTGAAATATTACATCATTGCAAAACACGTTTTTCGAGGGTCCGTATAATGTTCTATATATCGACGATTTGGGAAACGATGTTTAACGCAACGTGACCATAAAAGTGCGGCTCTTTCTGAAGTTTCAAGTACGATTCGACGTCATACAACACAAAGAACTGTTTTTGTCTTTTACAAATCACTTTAGAAAATACAAAATATATTCTCTTTTATTATATACATATATCAAAATCATTTTTCAGTTCCATCTTACTTTTCTATTTACATAACTTTACATAATTGTATTGGAGGTTATTGATTTAGACTAACGAAATGTCTACAAAAATTTATCAAACGAAATCTTGAGTGCTTTATCGAAATCTTTTACGATACGGTCAAACTTTGCATCCTAGTACTAATACTACTATTATGTGACGTATAGGTTTTGCAATCGAGAAAACAAGTAATTGTGAAAAGGCTACATAACTCTGGAAATTTGAAAGTTTGAAGAACAGTTGGTTTTATATCAGATAGCGTTTATTATCGAATTAAACTGGTAAAAGCACAAGAGTAGAAAACCTGTTCCGTTCTCCCAACTATCGAGAGACGGAGACTGAACAATGGTATATAGGTACTAAATACGATAATGCCAATGATCTGCCATTTTTTCGCATATTCTCGAGAAAAGAAGTATGGATGTCTCTCTAACGCACACCCACGTATGTATTTCACCGATATCTATTTCTGGCAATGATGAGCGCGTACAAGCGACGAACGTGTCCGCTTCTACAAACGTGCAACGATTGCGAGCAGCGTAAAAATAAATTCTACTGTGTCCACGATGGCTACCCTAATCTCCACCTTGAAGCATTTATCTATCATAAAATTATGCTACGAATATACTCGAATGACTCCCTATCGCGGATCGCCCATTTTATTTCCTCACGAACATCTGACAGAACCCAAGGAACACCCTACGGTAGTATTTATCGTTGATGATTTTCATTCGACACTTACCGTTGCTGTTCTTGTTATCGCTTGATAAATTAGAAAATCCAATTGGCACTAAATTCACTGAGATTTCTGAAAAAACGTTATGCAGTCTGATGAAATGTTTGTTTCTGACAGATTGGATGAAACAACATTTAACACCTCTCTTTACGTACTAAAGTGTCGCGTAAGCTGTGCAGTCCATATATACAAACTTTCCTTCTAGTGGCTTCCGGAACTTTCGAGAATGGGTCGACGGCAGTTCCGTAGCACTTATTTAATGACGTCAGTAATCCCCACTCCTAGTTATAGATCGAAAACGCGACCGAAAATCGCGCGCGCTTTATGAAACGTAATATCGACACCATGATAAATAAACGATATATTCAGTAAATAATATACTAGCAATATATATTGAATAAAGTTTATATTACTTTGGCAAATAACAATAATTTTGCACATTTAACTCTATTGGACGGAAAAAGATAAGTGAAATATTGTTCTCGTTATGATCTGAACTTAGCCGAGTATGCTATTGATATACTTGATGAACGTAATTGTGGATATTAATTCTATGCATACATACATATAATGCATTTATGAAGTTTGAGGACATTTAAATATTACCATCGAATGAATTTTTATAATCGATAAAATAGTATATGGATCATTATTTTATTAGTTGCGCCAACTGTTGAATTCTGTAATATCATAATAGTTATACAAGATGCAATAATAACTGAGATTTGTTTTTGCTAGAAGAGAAACTATAGTTTTTTTTTTTAATAGTACTTAATAATTTATATTTTTAATAGTAAGTTAATAGTATTGGCCATTTGTACAAATTCCATTTCACTTTCCTCTGCAGAAATTATAATTAATCCTATAAGGAGCGTACTGCATTATCATGTGGAACAAATAATTTGATAATTTTTAAAATAAATTTATTAAGATTGCATTTATTGTACGAATATTTACATAGTATAGTTCATATCCCGTAAAAATCGAAAATATTCCTTTGTACGTAACAAATAAACGTATTATTGTTTATATATACATTACATACATCATTACACGAAAGTCAAATTGATTTAATTAGCATCACGTGTATTTCATATATACACAACAAATACATTATTCAATGTATGTATTTATCTGCTCAATCGTAAGAACAGCGCGTGTCTACATTCTCGTGAATTCGGTGGCATGTATTTGTCATAAAAATCTTGAACAAATTCTTCTACTTTAAAACCGAATTTCTGATATAAAATTAACGCTGGGTTAGTAGCTGAAACGTGTAACGTAACATCTTTGCCCATACACGTTTGGATTAAATGATACAGCATAAATGTTCCTATGCCAGATCTACGCCATTCAGGACGAGTTAGAAAAAATGATATGTAAGCTTCGTTGTAACCAACATCGGGAACTAAAATTGCAAATCCTATAATTAACTTTTTGTACAAAACCACACAGCTAAAGTCAGGGTACTGCAAGCACTCTGTCACTGAAAAAATAAAAATTTTTTATATAAATTTTTTTATAAAAGATAATCTTGCATCAAACCATTATATAATCGTTGTGTTCACTCACAATCAATGCCCGGCCAAAAGAATTGGCTACACAGACTATTAATCGCGGGAATGTGCTGAGGCCTC